CTCTGTTCTCCTTTCGGGCTCTGTCTTTACATTTATTTTGAAAGAATAAGCTTGCGATTATGGTAAGGGCCGTTACATTTCCGACGAGTGCTTGCGTTGTTCGGCCAATCACAATGCACTGGGTCAGCTGGCCAGTCAGAGCAGACTGCGCTTGTCGGAAGGAGGGACTTTGTAGAAAACGAAGCGTTTGAGAGAGGCGGGGCATAGAGGACCTACAATAATGTACAGTATTTGAAAAAGAATGTGTTTTTTGAACATTAAAGCATGTCAACATATTCTGTTACACCAAATACACAAAATAATGATCTTTTAAAAAGCATCATATGACCCCTTTAATTCTGATATTCTGATAAAGGAAAATGCAATAAGCCTATATTGAAACCAAAACAGCAATAAGCCTAAATTGAAATCTTCCCATACAGTAAAATCTGTGATTATGTAATGTTGCTGTGTCAGCATTGGTTTAATTCAGCACTGAAGAAATGCAACAGCACTCAAAAAGATTTTAATGCTATTTGTGACCTTGGACCACAAAACCAGCCTTAAGTGTCAATTTTTTGAAATTGAGATTTATATATCATCTGAAAGCTGAATAAATAAGCTTTCCATTGATGTATGTTTTTTATTTGGCCGAGATACAACTATTTGAAAATCTGGAATCTGAGGGTGCAAAAAAATCTAAATATTGAGAAAATCGCCTTTAAAGTTGTCCAAATGAAGTTCTTAGCAATGCATATTACTAATCAAAAATTAAGTTTTGATATATTTACAGTAGGAAATGTACAAAATATCTTCATGGAACATGATCTTTACTTAATATCCTAATGATTTTTGGCATAAAAGTAAAAAAATAAATCATTTTGACCCATACAATGTATTTTGGCTATTGCTAAAAATATAACCCAGCAACTTAAGACTGGTTTTGTGGTCCAGGGTCACATTTGCTCTTTGAAATTTAGTATTTTGTACTTGGCCACAAATTGTTTTTTAATTAAAATTTTTGGGTTTTGTTTCAAATTCAATATATTGTCCATCATCTGGATCGGCATCATACCCTGAATAAAGGATCACTGTCCATATAAAAATATAAATGGATAAAGGTGATTCTTGATGTGTTTTTATATTTAAACTGTTATTCTCTTACTCTGCTCTTTAGAGGACACAAAATTGGATGAGTTTGTGAAGGAGGTACATGCACTGAAGAAGCTGCACCATCCTAAACTGATTGAGCTGTTGGCTCTCTGCACACGAGGGGAGCCGGTCTACATCGTCACCGAGCTCATGACTAAAGGAAGTCTCAAATCATATCTTTCTAGTAAGTGTGACTGCACTCTGTTTCCCTGTTCACTACTTGCTTGTACACTACATGTTTGAAGATCACTGTATATATCACTGGTCTGGGTATTTCATACATTGCATTTTTTCTCTTATTAGACAATCACGTTCGCACTGACAAACATTTATGGCTTTATGTGGTTACAGTTCAAAAGTAAATGAAGTCATCAAACACAAAAGTGTTTATATCCTTCACACCCAAGTTATTTCCTCCAGTCTGAGAAGCAATTTCTTTAAATAGATATGGCTTTAATTATGATGTTTCCCACTCAAATGTTACCTTCCCCTTTTACTTTAACGACTCAAGCTGCATGAAATCCACAATCCTGATCACGGTGTTCTCCAGTAGGATTTGAGATGATCCAAAGATCTTGAGCTTCAGTGAAAGCAAGAACATCTGACCATTTGTACAGAGTCTCATGATCAGCGTCATTCATTTCTTAGTAATACTTATTTGCTTACTGACCTAGAAATAATCCAAAATCTGCATTTGAGAAATCATTTTTAAACTCACTTTTCCTTTACTTTTTTAAAAAAATTTTATCACAAAACGTTTTTCCAGTTTATTTCCAGATTTCAATTAAGATTTGTTTATTTTCAGATTGAACTTTTATTTTGAAGCCCACATTTTCAGTGTGGTCTCAGAAATTTGACATTTGGATCCTTTTGTTTCACTGATGTTCCCAATGAGCAACTATTCACCTTTCCATCTAACCTCTTTTTTCTCATCATTTCCTGTAGCACCGGAGGGTCAGGTGTTGACCTCTGCTCACCTGATCTACATGGCTGGTCAGATAGCAGAAGGAATGGCGTATCTGGAAGATCGACACATTGTCCACAGAGACCTTGCAGCTCGAAACATCCTGGTTGGTGAAGACCTGGTGTGTAAAGTGGCTGACTTTGGTCTGGCTCGCATCATCAAGGTAATAATGGCGGGATGTCAAAGATGCCCCTGGAAATCTGCAAATAAAATTGATGCTTAGTATGTAATTTTGTGTGTGTGAGTAGGATAGTGTGTATACCGCTAGTAGAAACACCAAGATTCCTGTACGGTGGACGGCTCCAGAAGCTGCTCTCTACCAGCGGTTCTCAGTCAAATCTGACGTCTGGTCCTTTGGAGTGCTGCTGTATGAGATAATGTCACGTGGAAAGATGCCATATGATGGTATGAGTCTCTGTCCATTTTTTCTTTCTCAAATACACCACCATTCAAAAGTTTGGCGTCAGTAAGATTTGTAAAAAAAAAAAATGTGAAAGAAGTCTTTTATGCTCCTTAAGGCTGCATTTAATAAAAAAAAATACAGTAAAAATAGTAATACTATGAAATATTATTGCAATTTAAAATAACTGTTTTCTATTTTAATGTATTTTAAAATGTAATTTATTCCTGTGATGACAAAGCTGAATTTTCAGCATCATTACTCCAGTCTTCAGTGTCACATGATCCTTCAGAAATCACTCTAATATGCTGATTTGCTGCTCAAGAAACATTTCTTATTAATACGAGTGTTGAAAACAGTTGTGCTACTTAAAATTTTTGTGGAAAGAACAGCATTTATTTGAAAAAGAAATATTTTGTAATATAAATGTATTTACTTCCACTTTTGATCAATTTAATGCATCAGTTTAATTGTTGAATGAATTTCTCAAAAAAAGACCCCGAACCTTTGAGCAGTAGAGTATACTGTATATCTCATATACATGTACCACACTCTATGTCCCACAGGGAAGAATAATAAGGAGGTGTTGGAGATCCTGTCATCGGGGTACAGGTTACCGTGTCCAAATCGCTGCCCGCACAACACGATGACATTAAGCCACAACACAACGACATTAAGCTCACAACACGACAAAATTAAGCCACAACACGACGACATTAAGCCACAACACGACGACATTAAGCTCACAACACGACGACATTAAGCTCACAACACGACGACATTAAGCTCACAACACGACGACATTAAGCTCACAACACGACGACATTAAGCTCACAACACGACGACATTAAGCTCACAACACGACGACATTAAGCTCACAACACGACGACATTAAGCTCACAACACGACGACATTAAGCTCACAACACGACGACATTAAGCTCACAACACGACGACATTAAGCTCACAACACGACGACATTAAGCTCACAACACGACGACATTAAGCTCACAACACGACGACATTAAGCTCACAACACGACGACATTAAGCTCACAACACGACGACATTAAGCTCACAACACGACGACATTAAGCTCACAACACGACGACATTAAGCTCACAACACGACGACATTAAGCTCACAACACGACGACATTAAGCTCACAACACGACGACATTAAGCTCACAACACGACGACATTAAGCTCACAACACGACGACATTAAGCTCACAACACGACGACATTAAGCTCACAACACGACGACATTAAGCTCACAACACGACGACATTAAGCTCACAACACGACGACATTAAGCTCACAACACGACGACATTAAGCTCACAACACGACGACATTAAGCTCACAACACGACGACATTAAGCTCACAACACGACGACATTAAGCTCACAACACGACGACATTAAGCTCACAACACGACGACATTAAGCTCACAACACGACGACATTAAGCTCACAACACGACGACATTAAGCTCACAACACGACGACATTAAGCTCACAACACGACGACATTAAGCTCACAACACGACGACATTAAGCTCACAACACGACGACATTAAGCTCACAACACGACGACATTAAGCTCACAACACGACGACATTAAGCTCACAACACGACGACATTAAGCTCACAACACGACGACATTAAGCTCACAACACGACGACATTAAGCTCACAACACGACGACATTAAGCTCACAACACGACGACATTAAGCTCACAACACGACGACATTAAGCTCACAACACGACGACATTAAGCTCACAACACGACGACATTAAGCTCACAACACGACGACATTAAGCTCACAACACGACGACATTAAGCTCACAACACGACGACATTAAGCTCACAACACGACGACATTAAGCTCACAACACGACGACATTAAGCTCACAACACGACGACATTAAGCTCACAACACGACGACATTAAGCTCACAACACGACGACATTAAGCTCACAACACGACGACATTAAGCTCACAACACGACGACATTAAGCTCACAACACGACGACATTAAGCTCACAACACGACGACATTAAGCTCACAACACGACGACATTAAGCTCACAACACGACGACATTAAGCTCACAACACGACGACATTAAGCTCACAACACGACGACATTAAGCTCACAACACGACGACATTAAGCTCACAACACGACGACATTAAGCTCACAACACGACGACATTAAGCTCACAACACGACGACATTAAGCTCACAACACGACGACATTAAGCTCACAACACGACGACATTAAGCTCACAACACGACGACATTAAGCTCACAACACGACGACATTAAGCTCACAACACGACGACATTAAGCTCACAACACGACGACATTAAGCTCACAACACGACGACATTAAGCTCACAACACGACGACATTAAGCTCACAACACGACGACATTAAGCTCACAACACGACGACATTAAGCTCACAACACGACGACATTAAGCTCACAACACGACGACATTAAGCTCACAACACAACGACATTAAGCTCACAACACAACGGAAATGCTCCTGACCACTAGGGGGCAGTGTTGACAGTTAAACCGATATTTCCTCGAAACGCCTCAAGAAAGTTGTGAGCTTAATGTCATCGTGTTGTGGCTTAATGTCGTCGTGTTATGGCTTAATGTGTTCGTGTTGTGAGATTTAATGTCGTCGTGTTGTGAGTTTAATGTGGTTGTGTTGTGGCTTAATGTCGTCGTGTTTTGGCTTAATGTGGGTG